CCCCCCCCCCCCCCCCCCCCACACTAATGACGTTTAGCTATCAAAGCCCTACGAAACTGACGAAACCCCTAAAACCTAAACCGTCTTTTAAACCCTAAAGAACCCAAAACTCTAGACCCTGAAGAACCCTCAGCCCAAAACCCTGAANNGAACCCTAAACCCCAAAGAACCCCAAAGAACCCTAAACCCATAAAGAACCCTAAACCCTATACCCATAAAGAACCCTAAACCCTAAAGAACCCTAAAGAACCCTGAAGAACCCTATACCCATAAAGAACCCTAAGAACCCTAAAGAACCCTAAACCCATAAAGAACCCTAAACGCTAAAGAACCGTAAACCCTACACCCATAAAGAACCCTAAACCCTAAAGAACCCTAAAGATCCCTAAGCCCATAGCGAACCCTAAACCCATAAAGATTCCTAAGCCCTAGGCAAAAAATCTAAACCTATAAAGAGCCCTAAAGAACTCCTAAACCCACAAAGAAACCCACAAAGAACCCTAAACTCTGAAGAGCCCTAAACCCATAAAGAAACCTACAAAGAACCCTAAACCCTAAAGAACCCCAAACCCATAAAGAATCCTACACTAAGCCCTAAAGAACCCTAAACCCTAAACCCTAAAGAACCCTGAAGAACCCTCAGCCCAAACCCTAAAGAACCCTAAACCCCTAAAGAACCCGAAACCCTAAATTCTAAAGAACCCTAAACCCTAAAGAACCCTAAGCCCATAAAGAACCCTAAACCCTAAACCCTAAAGAACCCTAAACCCCTAAAGAACCCTAAACCCTAAACCCTAAAGAACCCTAAACCCTAAAGAACCCTAAACCCTAAAGCACCCTAAACCCAAAACCCTAAAGAACCCTAAACCCCTAAAGAACCCTAAACCCTAAACCCGAAAAGAACCCTAAACCCATAAAGAACCCTAAACCCTAAAGAACCCTAAACCCTAAAGAACCCTAAACCCTCAAGAACCCTAAACCCTAAAGAACCCTAAACCCTCAAGAACCCTAAACCCTAAACCATAAAGAACCCTAAACCCTAAAGAACCCATAAAGAACCCTAAACCCTAAACCCTCAAGAACCCTCAGCCCAAAACCATAAAGAACCCTAAACCCTAAAGAACCCATAAAGAACCTTAAACCCTAAACCCTCAAAGAACCCTAAAACCCATAAAGAGCGACGCCTGTCACAGAGGCGGCAGTGCGCTTTCGGATCGGCTCCTGGGCTTCGGCAGCCAGGGTAGAGAGTTTTTGTTGGTTGGCCTTTTTTACCGAAAGAGAATATGCATGCATACATACATACATACATACATACATACATACATACATGTGTATATATATATATATACATATATTTATACAGTCATATACACATTTACGTATATACATACATCTATACATTTATATATATATATACATACATATGTGTAATATTGTATGAATTTGGGGTGTTTGGAGGTTGTTAGAGACTTTTTGGTAGCCTTAGGACCGAAACCCAAAACCCTCCAGAAACCTGCGCCCTACCTTTCGGGTTTCGGGTTTGGGGCCAGTTTAGGGTTTAGGGTTTCGGGTTCTATACCCTAAACTCCAAAGCCCTCAAGAAACCTGAGCCCTACCTGCAGTCTCCATGGTGCAGTTCCTTTTTTTTTGGCTTAACCAAGTTTTGTATTCAGGATCCTGTAAGGCCGCCCCAAAAAGGAACTCGAATGGAGACTATAGGTAGCTTGAGGCCTATTGCCCTTCTTGCTGGATCTTGGACACCTCCAGCAACACGGTCAGCCTCACTCTGACGAACTGCGCCTCGAACCCGAACGGGGTGGTGTAGGGCTTCGGGTTTGGAGTTTGGGGTTCAGGGTCTAGGGTTTAGGGCTTCTAGGGTTTAGGGCTTTCTTCGGGAGCTTAAGGTGTCTTCGGCTTACAGTAAGTAGGAGCTCTAGGTTTGGGGTTAGGGCTGGAGTTTTTGAGTAGGAGCCCTTTTCCTGAAAGCCAGGGTCTCAAGGCTTCAGGTCAGGTCCCTAAGCCCTAAACCTTAGTTCCCCAATACCCAACCTTTAAACTTTTTGGGTTCTTATAATTTAGTAACACTCTGAAAGTTTAACCTGTTATTTCCCTGGCTTATTGGGGGAGTAAGAAACTCTACGGCCCTCTGGGAGCATCTTACATCAGGGTCACCCGGAAGGCGAAGTTACAGCGGAACTTTGGTGCCGGCGTGGAGGGTCCAAGCAATCACTAGGCGGTGCTTCCAGCCCCAAGTGGATTTGCTTAATCAGTAACCGAAACCCGTGAAACTGAAAAGTGCTGATACATCCAGATACCTTGAACACGAAAACCCAAATCGAAACCCCCTACACTGAACGGGCGGCTCACAGCATCTGTTTGTCTTGTCGGAAGTCTTAGATGAGTTTCCTCACCAGGCTTTGAGCGCCATCATATCGGCCAGTGCAAAGCCCCAAGTACAACAGCTTTGTTTGGTTAGTGCGGTGTCGGTAGCTTCCTGCATGGCCCATGCTTGTGCTTCGTTCCATCAGGGCATGTATGCCTAGCTTGTCATGTCATGGAGCTGTCGCTGGGCAAGTGCACCGGGCACAGCCACAGGAAGGGATCCGCGTTTGTAGTACTTAGATGAACCGAGTAGACGGACTTCAAGCTTGATCGGGTGCCACCTGTCATACCAAATAGATGCACTTCCTGGACAGGTGAGATGGGGACTGTATATAAGTGTTGCGAAAAGTCGCCGCCATCGGCTTCGTGCGATTGCTACTTTTTTAGGCAAGCTCTTTGATGAATCAGACTGTCACAGGAAGGTTGCGGTTGTGAAGCCGTACTTGCCACACTGCACGCCCGCTGGACCTTCTCATCAGGAACGAGGTGTACCAAAGTACTCAAGGGTGCTAGGATATTCAAGTACCGCCGATGCTCCAGGCAACAACTACTTCAAGATTGACGTTGGCTCGAACAGCGCCATTATGTCCTACACCTTCGTGAACACAGGCACGGGACTGCATCAGTCATCAGTCCTTGTTTGGTTTTTCATGCTCGATGTCTGGCACGTTTCCGAAAGGTCTGCTGATCAGTGACTCTTCAAACGCTTTCCTGAAGAGGTTCGAATGCTGCGACGCTGTCAGACGGGACGAACGATTACACACTTGCGGCCCAGGGAACTGGGACATCTCACACGCACTGTGTGTGTCACTTGCCTGCTTCTTCGTTACTGTAATAGTCTATATCATACGTTATAACACTAAATGTGCTATGTACCTCTACCATTTACTAGGACTAGTTGTTACTTATCATATGTTGCAATACTATAATGTGCTATGTATTACTACCATTTACTAAGACTAGCTATTACTTATCATATGTTATGATACTATAATGTGCTATGTACCACTACCATGTACTAAGACTTGTTATAACCTAGCATATGTTATAATACTGCATGTAAAGTGATGTGTATCACTACCAATTACTAGTTATCACATATCAGGGGGGGTTGAACATCTGGCCTCGTAGGTAGTGGATGCCCAAACGCCGAAACTTCTCTTCTGTCACCTTGTTGTGGCGGCTTTGAGGAAAATATTCTAACCTTCCAAAAACTCTTGATTCAGGAATATATGCCTTAAATTCGAGTAGGATCAACGATCTGATGTAAGGTATATTCCTTAGCTGAAGGATTTTTGGAAGGTCTGGGTACTCCACCTAGGGACAATGGAGATTTTGATGCATGCAGGGAGAAGTGTCGACGAAGCCCTGCGCCAGCTTTCTCGAACATCATGCAGGGTTAGCACCCCGCACATCTGCCTCTTGCAGCGAGCACCGCAGACCCCGCGCACTAGCTGGATTGCGGTAGTTCTCCCGCTCTGAATCGCATCATGAGTGAGGCTGGAAGTTATTCAGGGAGAAACCCTCATCTGCGATCCCGATCCGAAACCCCATCCCTGAAGCAGCTGGTCCCAGGTCATATTTCTGGCGCAAGTCATTTGTTGGCCTGCGATGTACCAGCAATTGCTGCAACAGGAAGCACGCCCATCAACACCTTTCCGCAGGACATTCAGGCAGAGCCCAGCACAAATTCCAACCTAGAAGCTCTCAGATCGAAACAGACGGATCCCTTTGGTAGCTTGATGTGCACAGGCGTGCGTGTATACATCATACAAGCGCACAAGGGCGTAGATGGATAGGCATAGCGGACAGCATAGTTTAACTAGGATGGCGACGCCTTACCGAAGTTTTTTGTCATGGAGTCTTATCTGGTATGATATATTTATCATATCATAAAGTCGGGTCCGCATCCAGAATACAATGTATTGTGAGTGTCTAGTCGAGCTTTGCTGTTGTAATGCATCGACATCGTCTTAGACTGCCTGGTGCAATGCCCAGAAGAAGAAGGCATCGAAGTAGATTCCGTACCCATGAGAGCCCCATATATATATATATATATAATATACCTCAGCCCCTGGGAGGTGGCCACCCAAGTGAGATTTGGTGGCAGCACCACCTATCTCAACTACGTCAGCGGAACGCCGGCTTTGGAGATGTACGTCGGTTTCATGCCACAGAATTCATGGTTGTTGTACATGTTGTCGTGTGCTTAAGGCTTATAGGGTTGTTCTAGATTTTAAGGATTGGAATTGAGGATTTAGGCCTTTAGCTTGAAGGGGGTCAATATGATGAACTGGAGGAGCGCTGTTAGTTAAGAAGCCAAAAGCACGCGCGCTCCGTTGGCACCTCTTTTTCGTAACTTTGCCGAGGAGTGGGGGGAGGCGGGCAGCTTTCAAGAGGGTTGCGCAACTTGTTGAAATGGGCGAAGCATCTGGCATTGGCTGCAAAACCCCAAAACTCGTGAGTAGCACAGGACAGTATACTACTGAATGATCCACAAGAGTGTTCATCACATCTTGTTGGCACTGAGGCTCGAACCGCGCACTGTCCGGCACGAGCACTGCTGGGGGATCTGGGTTTGGAGCTCAGGTTTTCGCAGAAGTCCCTGGTAGACACTTCAAAACCGTCCGCACAAGGGTCTGCCGGGTTCAGCCCTAAGCCCTAAATCCTAAACCGGATTCAGTCAATCTATCACGCCGACTTCTGCACCCATGAATCCTCGCTTGGCCTGTCCGAGTTGTGAGAGTGTAAACCGGATTCAGCACAGCATGGAAGGGCTTCAGGGCTGCAACATGTTGCAACCCTCAGGGTCAAGTCCCGGTGTGTCGCGGAATGGGCATGCAGTGGGCAAGAGCGGGATCTCCATTGAGCATCAGGAACAGTAGTCAGTAATGGTAATTAACAGTAATGGTGATAGTAATAGAAACGATAGTAGTCATGGTCATGATGTGTCTCAGTAGAACAAATCTCCTGAGGATACTCCACGGGACTTGGAACCTGGACGCGGCCACAGTCACCTCCGATGCCCGCTTCAAGTGCCTTAGCAGAGCTCAAACGCCATGCGTGGGATGCCGCATGATGATGATAACGATGATAATGGTGATGATGCTGATGATGATGGTGATGATGATGGTGATGATGATGATGAAACCGATGATGCTGATGAGTATGATGATGATAATGACGATGGCGAGTATGAGTACAGTGATGGTGTTGAGAAGGTGCATCTGTACATTTATGAGCATCTCTGCGATGTCATAGTACTTGTACTTTGAGTGTGGTCGTCTTACAAATGCTATCTGCAATCGGCGCTACTCCACTTCTGAATATCATGTCTCCCTAATTAATGACGCGTTCGTTGTTAGGCCAGCTTGATCTTATTCCAGATCTAGCTTGCAGTCCCTTGGGCTGAGATTTCGATCTGTGCAGCGCTTTGATGAGTTCGGGGTTCAAGTTTAGATTATGTAGATTCCTCCTGCATTTTTGGGACTGTTTGGCCCTGCGGCGGAAGGCCCTGGCTACGGCGCAAGGTTCAGTGCCTATGCATTCCGATGTTTGTTTCGCTGAACACATGTGGACTAAGGTCAGCTTGATATGCTGTCTTTTCGAGCATGCTTTGGTGCAACCACATCACGCAATGTGTTGTGCCGTAGAGAGTAGTGCACATGACCTAGGCGAGACATTGAGCCGTTGCGCACGACGCTCAAGCGGGTGTGGCACCGAGGGAAGGACGGCAGCCAGAAGGCCAGCGACCCGAAACCACGCGTTTAGGGTTTAGGGCTCAGGGTTTAGGGTTCAAACCCTAAACCCTGACCCCAAATCGGCGTTCGGATTTTGAATTCGGAGCGTGGCGAGAAAGGGCTCTACTCAATACAGCGATTGACTACTGTTGCACAAGGACCCTGTGGAAACCCTGCAAGTAGCCTGACGAATCAGGCTCCTATCGTATGTGCCATACCCTAGTCCCACGCTTTTGGGAAGCTTTGCCGCCAGGGAAGCAGCGAGAAGGAAGTAGACGAGGCAACGGGGGTCACCAGACTCCCTGGAGGTCGTCTTTCCATACGGTGCAACAGTTTAGAGTTGAGCGTTTGCATGATGGTTCTTCGGAATGTTCAGGTTTGCACACCCTATGCCCCATGCCATGTGCTTGAAGCGCAATGGAGCGTGAGAGCTTTTGGCTGTTGGGCACAGATCTGCCAGTTCGCGGTCAGCGCCCATGCTTTGCCGTAAGAGCGTCCCGTAAGTCTCAACCCTACGCTTCCAAGGACCTTATAGCTAGGGCCCTAGACCCCTTAAGGACCCAATAATAAGGTCCCTGGAAGCATAGGGTCAAGTCGCCCCATGACTGCAGGTCGACGAAAGCAAAATCTTCGATTGGGTGCTGAACCGCTTAAGGCGGCCAGCTGCGGGACGGTTTTCCAAGTGTCCGGGTGAGACAGAAGATGCACAGCACGAAACAGCTCAAGTAGCTGCGAAGATGAGGAGTTCAATGCCAACAACGACATAAGGCAGCAGTCAATCAGTGAAAAACATGTTGAGAAGAAACTCGGCAAGTTTATTATTGTCTTGTAACAGTTTTGTTAAACTGCATGCCAACGCAGGAACAGATCCGTGATCACAGCATGATACATGGCAATCGTAGCACGCTGCCGCATCAACAGTTCCCGCTGATACCACTGCCCCGCAGGCAGTCTGTTCCCCAAGTGTCCGGAAGCTACCTGTAGTCTCCAGTGTAGTTCCTTTTTGGGGGTACCTTATAGAATCCAGAAAATATAATTGGTTAAACCAAAAAAAGGAACTACAATGGAGACTATAGGTAACAGATAAGCCAGCTCAATGCTGCTGCTTCCCAAGTGAGCCTTGCGATGCGAGGGATCTGCTCCCTTCAGCCTTCTCAGAAAGCAGCAGACACGCATCGACCCCCTCAAGAAAGGGTTGGAAAATCATGAAGATTATTCATCTACCGAACTGTTTTTGAGAACTCCCAAACAGGTGGAAGACAGGCTTTGCTGTGTAGTCGCGGTGTGGGGTACTGTAAGTGACTGGTTGAGAATCCCAATTCTTATGGTTGTATTGTTTCAGCTTGAGGTAAGTAGTTGATTGAGAATGGAACCCCTGCTGCCTTATTGTTGCATTGGTTTCAGTTGGCGTTGAATTTGCAGAGGGCTCTCAGGCCCCTAAAAACCCACAAAAACCCCATCTAACCCTAGACCCTAAACCCTAAACCCCTAAACCCTAAACCCTAAACCCTAAACCCCTAAACCCTAAACCCCAACCCCAGGACCCGAACCAGATGCCTCGCTTGGATGGTCCCAGTCGTAAGCGCCGAAACCCGAAGCCCAAAAAAGAAGCAGAACCGCGGTCCCAAAGGGTCCGAAGTACCAGTATGGTAGAATGTAGGGCTTCTATGGGTTTCTATAGAAATGAAATAAGAATTGCTATTATGGTTGGGGAAAGTATCCCAAATAGGGTTACTTAGGACCCTTTGCCAGTTGCAGGCCCGTTTCCTACGTGCCTACGAGAGACGAAGCTCATGGCCGACGATTCGGATTTATTGCCCAGGAGCTAAGAGTTTGAGTGGTTGGGGGTTCAGGGCTGAGGGTTTGGAGCTTCGGGTGTATATTCTTCCGGGCGACGAGGCAATCCCGCTGCAAAAGGATGTATTGCATTTGGATTTATCATATGGCACAGAAGAGAGCAGGCCTCGTGAACCGGCCCTCCAAGTACAGGTTTTCAGCCGGCCGTGATGTAATATAGGGACCTAAATAATTACCCATACTATTTTGGGGGGTTCCTTATTCTATAAAGGAGCCCAAAACCCTATTCTAATTCTTGAGGCCCCTACATTATCCTGGCGCAGAAATATTTTTGTGTGTTCGTAACATCTGAGCTGGATGCTCTGGCTCATGCTGCGATGTAGGCGGCATGAAGGTGGAGACTTCGCTGCTGCCAGGGCAAATCATCAGCTACACGCCTACAACCACCGTGACAGGAGCTAGAGGAGGTCTTCCCCGAAATGGTGCGAGACTTGAATCTGCCTACGGCGCTGCCTGGCTGCTTCCGGCGGGGTTTGATCGGATTTTTGTTCAGGACTTCGTGTGTCATTCATCACACCGCGACTTCGACGAGGACGACGACGACTCCTACTCCTATGAGCAACACCAGCACTACGACGACGACCCCCATCACCCCACCACCTTGCCTGCAGGAGCAAGTGATGGTCAATCCATGCACATGTACGAGTGATAGCAATGATCGAAAACTATTTTGGGGGGTTCCTTATTATATAAAGGAGGCCAAAACCCTATTCTAATTCTTGAGGCCCCTAGATTATCCCTGATGACATTGGTTTTCTTTCACGGTGACACTTTCACGGTGACACCCAGGGACCACAAGACCGTCCATCTTCTGGACCTCATCGTCCGGTGCTTAGCTTTGGAGATGTTCGGTCTCGAACCCAAAGTCTGAAGTGCCGAGCACTTTGAATATATTTATATATAACATATATATATATATAGTTATATATATAGATATATACATTATATCTATCTATAAGTATATCTATACGTATATCTACAATCATATATACATATATATAGAGAGAGAGAGAGAGAGTAACATAGAACGCCCGCCCCAAAGCCCAAAAGCCCCTGATGCCGATGCCCTAGCTACAACTAAACACTGAAATCTCTCTCAGCCGTTCAACGCCTGCGCACCAAACGGTCAAAGCCCCGTCGCCCATGCGCTCTCAGGCACCACAGCCCTAAACTAGTCCCCAAGCTTCTGTTGATGACAGTTTCTTACTTGAAGAAGCCGTCATTTGTTCCAAAAACATGCTTGATGGAGGAATACCTTTTTTGGGGAAGGCTGTGTATCTGAAGGAAAGCAGCACAAAACGACTGCAGCAAATGCCTCCGCTTACACAGGAATAGGCTTAGCACAGGCTTCTTAGTCGCTGCTTGATACAACTTGGACAGACACGATGACGGTCGGCTGCTCGTCATTCGCAGCTGATGAAAGTCCTCTGCTTCCGGGAGCCGGAATCTGGTGAAGTAATGTGGGTGGCTAAATGATCACCAATACTATTTCCGGGATTCCTTCTTACAATCACAGCAAAATATACCCAAAACCCTAATCTAAATATTAAGGCCGCGTCCCACGACGCCAACCCAGAGCGCTGCGCCCTAAACGCCGTTCTTTAACGCCTATACGTAACCTTCGAGACATTTAAACATTCCTCGCTTAAAGCATTATCACTAAAACGCTATAAACCCTAACGGATCCCTTTGAAGGGGTTTAGGACTTCGGGGTTAAGGACCCAAGTTAAATGAAAGCCCCGTGAAACCCTGCGAGGCTCTGGTGGTCGCCGCGGCGCAGCAGCAGAGCATTCAGCTACAGAGCTTGCAGGGAGAGGCGAGACTTTGGGATTTTCCCTTAAGCCTTACCGGGACCTGAAGAGATTACCTGTTTAAAGACTTATGTAGCTGGGCAGTAAGGGCAGCAGTCGAGTCCCTTGTTGAAAAAAGGACTTATGTACGGAAGCCATAAAAAGGAGCCCTATGAACCCTAAGCCCTAAACACCCTAAACCCTAAGCCCTAAACCCTAAACCCCTAAACCCCAAGCCCTAAACCCTAATGGGCGAGAAGAGGCTTCGAGC